AAGAACTCTGTCCAGCTGCTTCATGTTTACATGAAAGAAAACCAATAGCATGTGCGCAATCTTGTCACTATTAGGCTGCCTCAAGAGAAGATGAAAATCAGAGTGTCCAGGTTGAAGGTGGTGACAGTGCTGCCCCCCTCCTTGAGTTGGCACATCACATCTGGAGCAGGATAATACCGTGCATTGGAAGAGCCCAGGGCAATCAGGAGTCCTCCCCGGGAGGCTGCAAGTTAGTGACAGAATGCAGAAGTGGAGCATCAGGAGAAAAGCTGAAGGTTTCCAATAAGTGGGGGCCAAATGGCTGAGACCGTCTCAGCCAGAGAAGCGCCAGCAGGACGTGGGACTATCTTTAGCAGAAAAATCTTTCTATGCCAGCATACCACCTTTACACACACTCTTCATCTATGATTTCTGTTGTAAAGTCATGACTGTAATGTTTTCTCCCCAAAACTACTTAGCAGCATCAGTTTTAAAAGTACCCAAAGAGATGAAGCAATTCTGACTGCTTACATTTAACTTTAAATAATCACTTCCTTCCTTTTGTTCCTCCTTTTCTTCTTTGACTTCTTTCTTCCTTTCGTTTACTCAAACACTATTTACTGAAGTCATAAAAATGTTCATAAAGTTAAGAGTGAAGAAAAGGCTTCTCCATGTTATCAGGTAATGACAAATCAATATTTCTAGTAGGGTAAGGGTCTTTGTAGATGATGCCCTACTCTTCAAAACGTGTAACCCTCTCTGGGGGAATTGAGGAAGTGGTCACCATGGAGGTGGGTGGAGACAGGTCCCACGAGACAAATGCCTCATATGGGAGACTGGAATTAGCAAAAGCACAGAGAGATGCAAGATCATGCAGTGATTTGTATGAATATCAGGTGCCAAGATGCTCGAGGTACCAGTGGAGAGAGATGCACTCTGAGCAAGTGAATGCACTGCTCTGAAAGGCTTTGGAAGCCACCCAGGGAGTCTGCACTTTGTTTATGGAAGGAGAAACACCCAATCAGATCCTTTTAGTTCTTGGAGTGATGACTGACAACAACTTTAGTCTAAATGCTCTCCTTTGAAAGGAGTTTGGACTAAGTGAGCAGCAACCTCGCTGTTCCAGTCTGGGGGTGTGGCATTTCTTCTTGCATCCCCACTCCCCTTCTTCCTGAGGGTTCTGTGGGCTTGGTGTCCCTCTCCTCAGCATCTCCAGCAAAAGGAGCATTTATTTGGTGAATCCAAATTGCAGCTTTGTAGTTGGGTTTTCCAGTTCTGTAGATAGTTTATGCAAGTGGCAATTTTGATATCTGTAAATCTATGCAGAAGAACTGGTTGTTTAAATTGCCTTTGTAGTATGAGTGCAATTCAGAGTCAGGCATAATTACATTTTATGACTGTTATCCATGCTATATAACCCCAGAAAAAAGGTAGAAGCAAATGGGATAAAGTGGGAAAAGCAGGGTTGCCACACGCCCACTATTTTGTTCCATTTGATTCCTGTCAAAAAGTTGATTTGAAGGAAAAGTACAACCACACAATAAAATAGTGCCACATGTCTCACCTTATTTTACACACTTAATAATTCAGTCCTCCTCACAGCCCAAGGATAGTGGTAACTTGCGTATCTGTAATTTAAGGAGAAGCACAACATTCATGAAATTACTCAGTTAATAAATGAGGGGGGCAGCATTTAGATCTAGGTGTTCAGACAGCAGGGTCACTCTGTCTCCCAGTGTGTCCTGTTCCGTACAGATTCACAGAGAGCCCAGTTCGAATTGCATCTTCCTGAGCAAGGCTATCTGCAGTGCAGTGTGTAACAAGGGTGCCTGCCTTTCCCCTGTGCTAGCAGACCTGAGTGGTTCACCCTTTCAGAGAGCATCACTTTTCTTACATCCATGATGGAGCGCACCCAAGGACAGGAACACTGCCGTAGGAGCTGTGGTCCTGTAAGCTTTTAATCCTGGCTCTGCCCTTGCCCTTTGCTGGCTGTGCGGTCTTGTGCAGGTTCCCCTAAGCCTCCATTTCTTCCTCTGGTTAATCATCTAATTCCATAAATTTATAAAGACAAATGGAATTGAAGAATCATCGGGTTAAGTTTTCTTACCAATCCCAGATTGAAAATGCCATGCTTTCTCAAAGAGCATGGAAAGACTTACAAAGAAGGAGGATGTGCTAAGCACAATTCAGGGAGCAATAGTGTCCTTAGGAGAGTTTTACTGAAAGAAACATCTTCTAGAAGATGTGTGGGCACGCCCGTAAATTTTTAGTTTTTAAAAAAATTAGTAAAATTATTGAAAGAAAAATAACATGGTATTGTGAATACTATGATCATGAACATGGAATTCAAATCTTGATGTCTATAAATAAAGCGTTCTTCAAAGCCAGCCACTTTCACTTATGCTGTAATGGCAGAATTCAGTAGTTGTGATATAGACACAATGTTGCTTAAAGCCTAAGGTATTATCTGTCCCTTGCAGAAAAAGTTAGCTGACCCCTACTCCAGAATCTAGATCCTATAGGCACCTCTGATTGTTGGGTACTTGTTTAAAAGGGTCTCCCATAAAACAATTTCACATGAATATTTTCTAGTATATATAACATGTTTATGAAATATGCACAGATCAAAGTCAGATTTTATAGAAATTTGTACTATATGCATTAGCAGTTGCTGGATGAACAATGCAGATCTTGTCTACGACCAGGCTGTTTCCAGTTAGGGTTGGATATTTATGTAATGTGACTTTGGTAATATACGATGATGTTTCATTTGTTTGGACTTCTAGTATAATGCCTGTCAAGTATAACACTAAAAATTATTCAGAGTATATAACATCTATTATTAAAATAGTGAGTAAAACAATCCTATTTACTCTACAGGTCACTCTCTTGATGTTCTGAAATAACTGACTGAGGATAAAACCCAAAATAGAAGAGAGCCTCTAATAAATGGTGCTGGGAAAACTGGTTTTCCGCATGCTGAAGATTAAACCTAGCCCTCTCCCTCTCACCATGCACTGAACTAAAGTCAAAATGAGTTTGATTAAATATTAAAGATCTAAATATTAAAACAGAAACAATCTGCTGGAAGATAGAATAGATAAAACTCTTGAAGACATAGGTGTAGGCAAAGACTTTAGGATTAAAACCCCAATAGCAGGAAATATTACAAAGAATCAACAACTGGGATCTCAGCATATTAAAAAAGCATTTGCCTAGTACAGGAAACCACCAACAGAGTGAAGAGACAAACCACCAAATGGGAAAGTTTTTTTTTTTTTAATCAAGTGTTCCTCAATCAAAGGGCCAATATATAGAATACATAAAGAACTCAAAAAAATTAGACCCTCCAAAATTTAAAGACCTAATCCCAAAGTGGGAATCTGAGATGAATACATACTTCTCAGATGAAGAAATATGAATGGGAAATAAATGTATGAAAAATTGTTCAACATCATTGGTCTGGATAAATGGAATTATTGGACAATTATAGTTATCCTTGCATACTAGCCATGTAAGAGAAATGATTTTGAATTACAATTCTTATTTCCCTGATTTCCCTTCAAGATTGATATATTTCAGTTGTTCTTTATGACACAGATAGTATGAATATAATTGTTACACTTTGATGTAGTATTATGTTAAGGTGTGATCATGCCCTTAAGGAATACAAGGAAAGAATGTGTGTCTCTATGTTTAATTATCATACTCTTGTGTTTTTCAAATTCTCACATTGCTGTGTCGTTTCCCATGGATTTCTGTACTGTTCATTTCCACATCTCAACATTCCTTCCCGGTGACTGGGCTTCTAGAAGTATTTCCCTTTTTGTGCCATCTGTGATTTGCTATGCAGGGAAATCAAATGGTCAAGGTATATAGTGCTTTTTTTTCAAAAGGCAGTTCTTTATCATGCAGGAGACAGAAGCTTTTGAGCAGCAAACTGTAAATATCATGATAGAGGCCTTAGTCACCTCTGGTGATTATCAAGGAAGACTCATAATTTGGGCAATGGAGCTTTGGTAAATAGACTGGAACGTTCGCTTTGATAGCATGTTGGTATAGCTACCACTTACTTTTAAAAATAAATAATATTGTAATCTTCTATTTCTCTGCATAGTGTGGTGAGATTCAGTTTAACCTTAATTAAATTTCAGATTACTTATAGCAGCAGTTGATAGCTAATTCTTCGATTTACTTGAATTTGTTGACTCTAGTTTACTTGAATTGTCGAACATTCGCTTTGCAGTCTATGTTAATTCTCTCACAGGGTCCCATGGTGTTGTGTGACTTAAACAGTCCTGTAATTCTTTGACTTGGCTATGTTATCATGATCCACACACATGTGTCACACCCCCAGCAAGCCCCATGTGTGCAAATCTACATTTCTCAAACAGTGAATGAATTGTCTAAAGGGTGACTTTCAAATGAAAATTAAATCCATTTATATTACATACTCCAGTACCATATTCCAAATTATTTCCTCTACTTCTGCTTGTAATGAAGTCTCATCAACATTCTTCTTGTACAAAATGAAGTGCAGGTATTGCAGATAAGCTAGAAAGTTGGATTGGTTTCTATTTTTAAAAATGAAAACTTAGCACATCTATTAATTATACTCTATTTTGTTTACAATTTTACAAAAGCCATGGTCATTTGTTTATTTGAACCCGATCCCCTGTACTTCTGTAGAGGCCGGCACTGCCTAGCTCAGTGAGAAACTATACCCTTGAATTTCACACACATGGGTCATTTGTTCCCATGAGGCACACATTTCCAAGTAGACACCAGCCTTATTTATAATCCTGATAAAAATGGCTGTTATGATCATATCGCAGCAGGTTTGGCTAGCAAATATTTATCCGTCAAACAGAGCTACAGACAGAAGCCTAATTAATGTAATTGTTAACCGTGGTTTCCTATTTGCAAACATTTGTTGTTGTATCTTCAGCAAATAACAGATATACTTTGTTCCTCTTGTATCGTTTAACTCATGTTTTTATGCAATGTGTTCTTCCTTACAGGAATCCCAACATCTGACTCCAGGATTCACCCTGCAAAGTAAGTGTTTCTGGAAATGTCTTCGTAGTTAAAGAATCCACCCTCTTCCCTTCCCCACTTCTCCCTGCTTTCCATTCACTGTCATTAAAACGTGAAAGAGCAATAATGGCACACTGTTACATGTGATGTATCCAATTAGTCCCCCTTTTCATCTGTTATTCATGGCAGGAGGCAATGAAACTATGTGACTGTTTGGAGCCTAACTTCATTCAGAATAATCATTTGACAGTAGAAACACGAGCAGTAACTGTATCCTTTCTTTTCAGAGTGGAGTGACCCAACCAGCAGAGCTTCTACAAAGTCAGTATCATTCGAGTTGTGAGTACTTGGGTTCCCAGACCAGGCTTCCTCTGGTGTATTGGACAGGGCTCTTTTTCTCCTGCTCTTTCTTGCGCCTTGACATTGTGATTCCCAGCTTACAGTAATATGTATTTTGGTTGGGTAGCAAATCAGATTTTCTGTTGTCTGATTCCATTCACACTGTTATAACACCATAAACTGGGATGTTTATAAACAACAGAAATGTGTTTATCATAGTTCTGAAGGCCAGGGAATTGGAGATCAAGGCCCCAGAAGAAGTGATATCTGGTAAGAGCCCATTTCCTCACGGATGGCCATTCTCTCACCCCACACTCACATGCCAGAGGGGATCAATGGTGTCTCTGGGACCTCTTTAAAAGCCAGGAATGGTATCACATACCTGTAATCCCAGCACTAACTTGGGAGGCTGAGACTGAAGATTCATGAGTTCAAAGTCAATCTAGACTATTTACCAAGTCCTTGTCTCCAAACTCCAAAAAATTAAAAACAAAGAAAAATATGAAGACACTAACCCCATCCATGAGGCCTCCACTCTCAGGAACTGGCTATTTCCCAAAGATAGCATCTTCTAATGCTATCACCTTGGGTGGGGGGGGAGGATATCCATGTATGCCTCTTCGGTGTCTACCAATTCTCAGGCTACAGACTCCATAAGGAAGTAATAGTAAAAGTGAATTTGATCATTATGAGGTTCTCCAGTGATGCAGACATAGGCTGGTCAGTCTCAGATAGGAAAGCAATGGGAATTCAGTGGAAAAAAATAAAACTACTTGTTTGAGCATCAAGTAACATTATCCAGAGACATCATTATACACAGCTATAGCTGACCAGGTTGCGTAAGAGATTCATCTGGACAACCATGGTCAGACATGACACGTTATGTGACTTCCTCTGACCCGTGAGCCCAAGACTATTTGCAGGTCACCTGGCATCTATATATTAAATACAAAGAATATCAGCTGGGAAGAGAGAGAAGAAGAGAGTACATGGTGCCAGGGTGAAGTTCAAGAGCCCGGACCCCACAGTTTGTTCAGCACTGTCTTTATTTTTTAATTTCTTCACATTAACTTTTGTAGATTTTAGGTACTCATTTGTCTAATAGTACATCAGGGGAGTATTTCTCTCACATCTCCTTTCCTTCCTAATAATAGAAAATGGAAGTTGACATGTCTGTGTAATATTACACACTCGAAGATTTTCAAAATGAAATAATTTATGGCATTGAAGTGGCCTCATGGCACACTTGAAGTGAGTTGCTCACCTTTTGGAAGATCATAAATAATTACATAAAACAACTGGGAGTGAATGACCCCCACATAGAGGCCCTGACAAAGTCAGTGCCGATTCGGCTCCACATTCTTATTGACAGGTAGCAGCAAAGCCCCTAAACCCTGACCAGCTCTCTTATTTGAATTTCTGGCCTGATCTGCACCTTCTAATTCTAAGCTCAAACTTCAACAAACAAAAATCCTCAAGTTTAGAAGGTGGTAAAATACACGAGTACAGGATAAATAAAACCACAACCTTGACATAAGGACCAAACTATACGGAAACACAGAAATCAAAATCACCTTTACATTGTTCATTTTGGCTTTCTCATTAATCACATAAACACATTGTCCTTTGCCTTGCTATCCTCCTGTCCTACCTCAACCTTACTCACATTAAAAAGATGATAAAACACACACACACACACACACACACACACACACACACACACACACGGAAAAACAATGCAGGTTTGCAAACATGAAAATTATTTTACAGTGTAAAGTGATCTTACTCCAAAAGTGTAAGTATTAGGCTCCCATGGTGAAATATGCTGCTTTCTATGTAAAGCACACAATTTAATACTCCAATAGTCTGTAACTAACAGAAATGAACTCATTGCTGGTGCTTTATGGTTGCAAGCTACGTTTCAGAAAACAGCACTGGATAGCACAACGGTATATAGTGCGGTCAAGAAGAGGGTAGATCTCCACAGGAAGCATTAATAAAAGCAGAAGACACTGAGTCCATTTTATGAACTACCTGCTCTCTTTTTGGCTGCTTGGCCTAAAGTCACTACCCATCATATTTTAGCTGGCAAAAGTTCCCTTCTTATGGCGGGGTATAGGTTTAGTATTGGACAGATCGTACTTTTAAGAGTTTCCTTTTCAGCTTGCCAATTATTATCAGCTAAGCCATTATTATTGTTCTCCCACATTTTACCTCAGTGTGTTTAAACCAATTTCCAGGACTTTCCATTTGGCAAGGAAATCATCAGGCAATTAAGAACATTTGGAACACAGACTGCTGCCGCCTGGCAGTTGGTGGGAAGAAGCCCCTAAGTTAGCTGGGCTGCTGGAAAGATGCCCACCCAGGGTGGGCAATTGTGTTGGGCACACTCCCTGCCATTGAGCATGGTGGAGTTTAGAATACCGTAAAGTGGGATCCCTTAGCTGCGTGGACACTGTACACATTTTCCTTAGCTTGGCTCATTTTCCCTGGTTAAGGACACACAGACATTTTATTCACATACGGCTTGCTTATACGGACTGTGTGCTCGAGCCCCAGGTCTGCAGACCCTGGTGGCCAAGTGGCCGAGTACAAACTTGCAGCTGATTGGCTGGGCTCACTCTTTATTCATGACGGTTGCTGCTGTCTCTGGGCCTGACCTTAGCACAGGGCTGGCCTTTCAGACAACTGGGTAGCCTTGTGTTTGCTCGTTCATCCATAGACAGTGCTTTTCGCAGGGCGTCCATCAGCCAGGTGACATCCCAGCGGCTCCATCAGAACCTTGAATGCCCATAACACAGGAGCACTGCATCAGGGATTGGATGAGCTAAGTTGGAGCCTGTGCTCTACTGGAATTGTGGCATTAGTGGGAAACACAGACCTAGAGTTACAAAATGTGAGTTTAACTCATAGAAGCACCTATCTTTATTTTAGAGTATACAGTTAGAATTCCATAAGGAAAATCAAATGAATGGGCATAGGTGTATGTATACACACAACCATTTATCAGCATTCAAATATAAGCATATTCTTTAGTAACTAAACCTAACAACATAAATGTACTTTTGGCTCTTGCGTGCATGTGTGTGATGCTGGAAATTGAAACTAGAGCCTTCTCCCTGAGCTACATCATTTTTTTAGAGGGGGTGGGTCTCTCTAGGTGGAAAGGTTGCCCAGACTAAGATGCTCCTTCCACATCCTCCTAGAGTACTGGGACTAAAAGTGTGCTATCCCACCAGCTGAAAGTTTAATCTTTAATAATTTTTAAAGGAGACAAGGTCCAGCAGTTGGTCTTCTGCACTGTCTGCCTTTAGCCTCCATGAAACTGAGCTGTGTGAGGGTCTTTGCAAAGATCCTTCCCGCATCTTGTATATTCAATAGAGTTTCTAGCCTGCTTCCAAAATAGTCTGTATTCCATAAACATGTGAAGCACAAACTTGAGAAGGTTGATATATGTTTGGGGGGAGGGCTGTAGAGTTGTCTATTCACACAGGAGTATCATGTCTACTTCATCGCTAAAAGATGCACTATTACAATTACCTGATTTCTGTTCTCATGTATACATCAGACATTGTGTGACTGTAGTTTCTTAGCAAAGCCATTAAAAATCAAAGGGGGAGAAAACACTCAAAATCAAAGAATGTGGATTTTATTTATTGATTTGGATTGCTTTATCTAGTTGATGACACCACTTGTCATCACTAGCCATAGAGAATCCTTGTGAAAACTCCTTGACCTATTGGTTTTACATGAGTTAGAACAGATAGGATGCATCCAGTTGCTGCCCTGGGAAGAATTTTCAGATGGCTTCCATGAACTCCTGAGTGTCCGCCAGTCAGCCTTTGACTTTAGTTACTTTGTGAGTACAGTTGAGACTGTGGCAGCTCCAAACATCAAGTACCTTTCTGACTCTTGGTTGTCAACGTTTGGACTTTATCCAATTGGAAACCATCCAGACCCACTTTTAACCAAGCAGCTCTTGCATTTTAAGCCTATCAAGAATGCCTGCACAGTTTCCATAAAGGCAGATGTAACCATAAGCTGTTTTGCCTTGTCATAAATCTCGTTCTTGTACTTACAGTATTAGTGACATGTTTGAAAACATCCCAGCCAGACAGTTGATGAAAGGCCACCTGGAGAGAGACTGGTTGGCCAGCCTCAGTTTATCTGTGGGTGCTGGATACGCATATCACATGAACAAATGTCTGAGTGTACCTCTAGTTTGAAGGAAAGAAAATGATCCCATCACCAGAATGGCAGAAATCTTAATAACCTCTGAGGTGTTAAGCACATGTGCCCAATCCCAGGCCAAGGCTCATCTATGTGCATTTGCCCAGTGAAGCTTAGCAGTCATCTGAAGGTGCTCTGTATCATTCTTATTGTACAGGGAAGCAAAGCAAAGGGAGAACAGTTTCTCCACTACACAATTGGAAGACAAACTAACTACACATACTTAACTGGAATGGTCATCTTGACTACAAACATATACAAGGGCCGCGAAGTAACTTTGCCCCTTGGTAGGAAAGGTCGATTGCAGGCTGAAGGCCTCTCTTCCCACTGAGTTGCCCTTACATATGGGATCTGCTGCGTTCAGGGATTAGTTACTCCAAGTTTGGCAGTTCGAACCGTTAAGTAGACTTGTAGAACTGGCTGGTGAGAATGAGTCCCACAAGAAATTATACCTCTGTTCTTTGAAAGATATAAAACTGAATGAAAGTTGCTTTATTAACTAAAATATCATTATTTCTAACCTTTACTCTAAATGTTATGAACACTTCATTACCATAGAGAATAGAAAGATTGTGCGAATATTTTTCAGATTGCTGTAACTCGTATAAGCATTGCATTGCTTCCTAGATGAATTTCAAATACTTTTTACCCCCAAACCCTCACATTTATTACAACCCTTCTGCCAAAACTTTCATCACTGAAAACATTTCCTTGGAGAATTTCATTTCAGATTTCAGAACTGCTATGCCTTATTGTGAGCGATATAACTA